AACTTTCCGGCGTATACGCTGACTAGGAAAACCGGGCACGCAACTGATTGTCTCGGTAAATTCTCTGTTCCGAAGGCCTTAAATTCTCTCCGATTTTCTTAAGGAAATTGTCACCTCGAACTGTTGTTTTCGTTTGATAAAATGTCGTTTTGAGTCCCGAACACAGGCCAGCTTTGATGATTTTCGGAAAGGCAACAGCTGTTAAAGTTTTGGAGAAATTACAGCAAAGCTTTGTTAAATTGGAGATGACTCAAGCTCTCCTAGAATGACCGAACACTAACATTTTGTAGTAGAATTCTACTAGTATACTTATGCAAATGCTGTGATGTGATTGGCTGAGCCATTACATACTATCAGCCATTAGTGTGCAGTGGCTTTGTGTGGTCGACAAAATTGCAAGATTTCCTCGTTTCTCCGAAGTTTTGAAAGACCATTTACTAACAAATGGATAAAGAAATTCCTATAAAGACTAAAAGGAGGGCATTTACTTTGTCTTGAATTAAAAAAAGATCGAAATTTTTGAAAAAAATTGATAAGCGGGCGTATACAACTGCAAATGTCAAATCGACAATTTAGTCCGCGCGAATTCTCTGAAGCGTAAAGTTTAAAGACCAGATATATAATTGGAATCGATATTTTAAGGTAATTTTAGTTAGAAGTCTACCAAAACAATTAGATTATTCGCTCTCGATTTCTACGAGGTCATAGTTGATTCGGCTTTCGGCCTCATCAACTATCACCTCATAGAAATCTCGAGCTCATGATCTAACTGTTTAAAGCATTTGAGAGAAATCCGTCGCTGGGTGCCCCTAAGGAAAAAACAAAATGGGAATTTCATTACTGCTTTCATAGAATAACTAAATCCAAAATTTACATGGAGATTACCAGTTAATACGTACAAGAGCTTATAGGCGTCTACCAATCACATTTAAAGTGTCATGTTAGCTTCATAGTTGTATAACTGTCGAATACTTCAAACAAACACAACGAAAAAATACTTACTTTACGAGCGCCGGTGAAAATAATTATTATTATATGCCTAGCTCCGTGAGCGGGCAAGATGAATCAAATCCTGCGCTGTGATTGGCTACCCGAGCGGGCAAGATGGAGCTATCTTGCCCGCTCGGGACTANCCGTGTCCCGCAAGAAAAATTTCCCCGAAAGCCATATAATAAATCCTTTATTGACCAAGCTTGTTCGGTCAAGATTGCTGGATATTGGCCTCGTTCTGTTTTTGCGAGTTTATGGACCTCGACTCCGTCTCGGTCCATCAACACGCAAAAAAAGAACTTGGCCAATATCCAGCAATCTTGACCGAATAAGCTTGGTCAATAACCCATACTTATAAAAACAGATTGGATTCAAACGACTTTTAAGACCGGCATATATATAAGAAAAAAATCGAATGATTTAAAAGGCAATATGTATACTTCATATAACTGAAAACGTAAATTTTGAAGAGATGATTCGGCATTAAAGTTGCGTGAAGCATCATGATTGAAGTTTAAAACTGAAACAAAATCGGCTAGCTTTCCAAGGGACCAATCCCTTAAGTGTTTTTTCATATGGCAACATAAGCTATTAAGACTGAGCAACTAGCTAGAATCAAGCTTTAAGCCAGGAAAAAAAAATGAGTAATTAACTGCATATTATTGGATGTAAACGTGACAGCTCTGTCAACTAATCTCTATACACCTGTTATACGTGTTCGTGTTCGGCAGCTAATGTCTCCCTATACAATAAATGCATATAAGGCTTACAAGAAATGAAAATCGATAAAACGATCACAGAAGATGAAATTTAATTTCTAAGTAGTTAACAAAAATGTCTTGACACCTGTTTAATCGTGGGAATATAATTTAAATCTAATTAAGGCTGGATCAAACTTTAGATCAACAGTCTTTAAAGAGT